CTGTGCAGGAGGTGTGCAGGATAGGCATAACCCCCCTGTGTTTTCTGGGTCCCATTAGGGTAACTCGCAGAGGCCTGCATCTAAGTAGGGGTTCTCCAGCAGTGGTGGATAGGATTATGCCACACTTGCATTTTGGTTTAAACTGCGTGGGTGGGGGATCTGATGAAGCACTTTGTGATTCATCAGTCTTTAAAGGGTTTCTGGAAGGGGTGTAGGATCCCAGATGCATGGCGGCCGGTTTTCATCAGTGTCTTGGGGAGCCTGGTGTGGGTGCTGCCTGAGATTTGCTTCTCCGACTACAAAAAGCTGGCTTGTTTAGCGATGCTTTTGTTTTGGTCTTTTTTGGTGCTTTTCGTATTGGGGAGCTTGTGAGCGCTAACAGGCAAGGTCTTGCAGCATTAATGCGGCAGATGTCCACCTGGGGGTGGATAAGGTGGTGATTCACTTACCTAGGTCAAAAAAGGATGTGCGGAGGAAAGGGACGGATGTGGTTTTGCACGCTACTCCAGACTCACAGTTGTGCCCGGTAACCATTCCTGCATGGTATCAGGCGTTGCGGCCAACAGGGAAGGGCCCGTTTTTCTTGCACGAGGATGGTTCGTTGATGTCACGCTTCCAGTTTGCCAGGGTTTTTCACTTGGGGCTTTGGCGTTTGGGTTTGAGACCGTCCCAGTTAGGTACGCACTCCTTCTGAATCAGGGCAGCTACGGAAACCACGCATCTGGGGCTCTGTGATGAGCTGGTGAAGAAGATAGGGAGGTGGGAATCTGTTCCGTTCGTATGTGCGACTGGGGATGCTGGTGTGAAGGATGTGGTGGGTTTGGTGGATTCTCCTTGGGTTGTGCTCGGCTGATGTTCTTATTTTGTCTCCGTAGGTTGAGTTGCTTGGAACATGGGCCATTCGTTGATTTTCTGGGCAAAGAGGAGGGCTGCAGCTCATTTCCAGGGTCAGCAGCTGGGTTTTCCTGTGGACCAGATCTCAATTACATGGTTCGGTTATCGGGGAGCTAGTTGGGGGGATGTTATTAGGACAGTGTTTCAGCTAGTGGAAGTTGGGAGATCGCCTGATTTACTGTTGTTACATGCAGGGGGCAATGATTTGTGGCTAGTGTCGCAAAGACGCTTAGTTAAATGTATGAAGCAAGATATTAACCGGCTTGAAATCCATCCAATCACAGTGCTCTGTGTCATTTTACACAGCGTGGAAAAGTTCTTTGGAATTTTTCCACGCTGTGTAAAATGACAAAGAGCACTCTGATTGGCTTAAACCCACCAATCAGAGTGTTCTTAGCCTAATTGCAGGGCGGGGCAAGGCTTTATAAGCCTTCCCCCGCCATGCGGAGCTCAGTCTGCGTGGAGCCCTCCATGGGTGAAGATGGATTATTTTTTTCGCTCTGGTTTTTTCTTTTTCGTCAGGTTTTTTTTTGAGCTAGGGATTTTTATTTTATTTTACGTTCGACGGTTATGATGGTTTTTTATTTGGCCTTCTTTGGGGCTGAAAAATAAAGATTTGATAAAAAAGAAGACGTTGAATGGTAAGTTTAATTTTACTTTACAGGTTAGTTATTTTATTCCCCCTCACTATTTTTTAAGGTGAGGGGGGTAGGTAGGGGACTTTTTATTTGGGTGGAGGGCTGGGTGACTAGCCCAGTTTAGTAGACATGCCCCTACTCACGCTATAGCGAGTAGGGGCACTGGGGAGATTTTAATCTCCCTTGTGCTATTATGGGGGTCATATTGACCCCCATAGAGTGAGGGGGGACCTGGGGGCTTAGGAAGTGGCGGGGAGCACTGGCAGGGACAACGTAAGACGGCGCTGTGGCCTGGGGGCTTAGGAAGTGGCGGGGAGCACTGCTCCCTGCCGCTTCAATCTTTACATATTACAAGGAGGGAGCTGCGTGCCGGTAGCTCCCTCCTTGTAATAAACTGAACAAACAAACAAACACTGATATTCATTGTTAGTTTGTTCGTCTGACATTTCTGTTCATTCATTCGTCTGTCTGATGAATGAATGAATAGATGAAATTCCCGTTCGCATGTCCAGGTGTTTCACTAGTGTGGGCAGATGACGTGTCCCACAGGGACTTCATCTACCCACACAAAGATGGCGGCTCCCTGAATAAAGATCGGGGCAGAAAATAAAGATTAAAAAATAGGTAATATGGGGGGCTTAGGGGCATTTGGGGATGACTAGGGGGTCAATTAGAGATAGTGGAGGCGGGAGGGGGTTAAAAAAAACAGGATTCGGCATGACAGTGCCGCTTTAAGGGGTCAAAGTCTGAGCTTGTGGCGGGGCTAGAGAGAAAAAAGTTAGGGGACAAACAGGCTCTGGGGTAGTGTAAATAGAACAGTGGCGGATCCAGAGCATGCTCTCGGGAGGGGCACTTGTAGATTATTTAAAGAAATAATCCAGGCACAATAGCCACTACAGCTCAGTGTAGTAGTTATGGTGCCAGTAGTGTCAGGATCCCATCACAGAGTAAGTAGTCAAACCGTTTAAGAACAGTTTGACAACTTACCTGGGGTCTGCTGGGATATAGGGCATAGAAGCAGTGGTATGTATTAGGGGTGAAGTGTGTGTGAAAGGTGCAGTGTGTGTGTGTGTGTGTGTGTGAGCGGTGAAGTGTGTGTGTGTGTGAGTGCGTCAGTGTATGTCAGGGTTGCAGTGTGTGTGTTAGGGGGCAGTGTATGTGTGGGGAAGTGTGTGTGAGAGAGCTGCAGTGTGTGTGTGAGCAGTGCAGTGTGTATATGAGGGGGCCAGTGTGTGTGTGTGTGTGTGAGGCTTGCAGTGTATGTGTGTTTGGGGCAGAGTGTGTATGGGGGGCACTGTATGTGTGTGTGGGGCAGTGTGTGTGTGTGGTGCAGTGTGTGTATGGGGGGCACTGTATGTGTGTTTGGGACAGTGTGTGTATGGGGGCACTGTATATGTGTGTGGGGCAGTGTGTGTATGGGGCACTGAATGTGTGTGGGGAAATGTGTGTATGGGGCAATGTGTATGGGTGGCAGTGTATATGTGGCAGTGTGTGTATGGGGGGCAGTGTGTGTGTGGTATGGGGAGCACTGTATGTGTGTTTGGGACAGTGTGTGTATGGGGCCACTGTATGTGTGTGTGGGGCAGTGTGTGTATGGGGGCACTGTATGTATGTGTGGGGGGGCAATGTGTGGATGGGCAATGTGTGTATGGGTGGCAGTGTGTGTATGGAGTGGCAGTGTGTGTGTGGGGGGCAATGTGTGTATGGGGGGACAGCAGTGTGTGTGGGGCACTGTATGTATGTGTGGGGCAATGTGTGTATGGGGGCAGTGTGTGTGTAGGGGCAGTGGTTATGGGGCAGTGTGTGTTTGGGGGGGTAAGAGGGTAGGGAGGCTTTTTAATCATTTGTAAAAAAAAAAATATATTTAATAAAATTAATATATTTATGTCCCCCCTCCCTTCTTACCTTTATTGAGGAGGAGGGGTGGCATTTCTCCATTCCTGGTGGTCCGGTGGGAAATCCCTGGTGGTCCCAGTGGTTAGAGTGAACTCTAGCCTGTAGCTCCATGGCTAGAGTTCGCTCTCGCAAGATTTGGAGCGTTGCCATGGTAATCGCAGCAACACCCCGTGCTCGCTAGAGAAGGACCCGGAGGAGCTGCAGGCTGAGCTCCCGGGTCCTCTCTCTCCCTTCCTCCCCCCGCCAGCTGCCAGCACAGTGCCTGTGGACCGGAGAGGGAGATCTATGTCACTTGGACAATGCCAGCCCTGCATCAGCCAGCAGGGGAGAATCTCGGGGGGTGCAATTGCCCCGTTGCCCCCCCCGCCCCCGGATCCGCCACTGAAATAGAATAGGGCAGTTAGGAAGCTGGTTAAGAGTTTGGTTAAAAGGTTCGTTAAGAACTTTGGTAGGTTTCAAGCTCGTTGGTGGCTCAGAACCTGGTGGGTAGTAGGGGTATATGGGTATACTTAACAAAGTGTAGCAATTATATTATGTTTATGAGGTTTGTTATTATTGTTATTTATGTTATTTATATTTACGGTTAAAATATGGGTCATTGCCTTTTGTTTTGTGGACATATGATGTTATATGGAAGCATGGGGGCCGGGCAATGACTTTAATTATATTGTTAGTATCATTAATAAAAGCTGTGGACATATTGACCCATACATTAGCATCAGTGTTTTATTGGGTAGAAGTTTGGGGCGTAATTCCACCTGCCCATTTGGCGACTATGCGCCTGTCATGAAAACACACACAATCCTGAATACAATGTTACCTTCCAGGGGCAAAATGTAGATAAATCAACGAGACAAAACACAAAACAAATCTCATAGCACAATCTGCAATATGTAAAACATAGCTTCACAACGCACAGTACAGCACTCACAATCTTCAGAGCCAGCAATTTCGTTTTATATTGTATGGCACTAAGGATAATGCTTTATTCTGTTTACATTCTAATTCAGTTGTTATGGTGCTTGGAGCATTCCATTAAAGGCAATTTGGTATAAATGAAATCTGCTTACCTGTACAAATATTTGGATAAATATAGAGGAAGCTAAACTCTCTAATTGTTCCATTCCACGCAGAGAACAGCCATCCAAACCACTTTTTAACCACTGGAAATAATTTGACAAAGAAATTAAAGACCTGTAGCTATAGCATCTTTGCACACCATACTGCCTAGCAGCCATATTATCCAGCAGGGTAGTCCATATGCAGTACCCAGTGGGAGTGAGACTAGTTTATGCAGCACAGGCATATCTAGTTATGAGCTTGTTGGGGACTTGCCTCTGGTGTCCCTAAAGGTGGAGTGCCAGAGAACAAACTAATGTAACAGGGGCCCACATTCAGAATTGTTCCTCTGACTCAGAGACTGTCTTCTCTGTTAAAACGTACTTCTGTTACATTCTGTCAAATTTAAAGCAACAGAATATACCTTCATCAAAGAGTGCGTGAATTTTGTGGCCTTTAACCGTAAATATAAATAACATAAATAACAATAATAACAAACACTTGTTACACACA